TATCTATCTATCTATCTATCTATCTATCATCTATCTATCTATCCAGCTGCTTTAAAAAAAAAAAAACACTTTATTTTTGAAAATATATATTCAAACCGTTTACCCACCCACCCTGCCTGAACCAGGAGCCAAACAGAAAAAAAAGGCAAAGAGGGCTTTGGGGGGGGGGGCATCGGGGTCAGGAAAAACTTCAAGTGGGGGGCGGCAGAAATCCGGCTCCTGCCTCACCTCGTTGAATTCGGGGTTCAGCGTCTTCTTCTTAATCTGCGTCTTTTGCTTGGCCTTCTTGCCCATGTCGGGTTTTAAGCAACTGCGGGAAAGAGGGAAGCAGAGAGGAAGAATGACAGAATCGCACAGGTGGAAGGGACCATGGAGGTCTTCTAGTCCAACCCCCTGAACTAAGCAGGAGACCCGGCACCAGGGATGGAGACTTTTCGGCAGCCAGTGTCCAAAGTGGATCGCTGGAAACCCGAACGCCAGCTGGCTGGAGCGCACGTGCACCCAGCCGGCCAGTCTTTGGGGGTCCGGTGCTCCGGCCCATCCGGAGACCAGCACACACACGCACCAGAAGAGCAGCGGACGACAGCGCCCCTAAAGAGGGCTCTGTGTGCCCCCTGTGCCATGCGGGCAATGGGTTTGCCACCACGGCCCTTCACCATCTCAGACAAGTGGCTGCACAGCCTCTTCAACTCCCACAGCCTCTGAGGGCACCTTCTGCTCCCCTGCTTCATTGTCCCCACTGCCAGGAAGTTTCTCCTTCGCAGGACCCTCCAAAGGGCTGCAAGACCCCCCGCAAAATCAACCGAGGGTGACGTTGGGGGTGTGTGTGGCCGGGGGTGGTGGAAGCTGTAGAAGTATAAGGGCTCCAAGGAAAAGACCGAGGGAATAAACGTGCCAATATTGGTGCCAACCAATCGTGCTGTAGGACTACAAGTCCCATGACTCCCGAGAGCACCACCGCTGGCTGCAGAGGGTGGGAGGAGCCCGTTTCTCCAGAGATCCGGACCCTCACCACTCTCCCGGCCTTCTGTAAAGCCACCAAGATCTGGCTGTTCCGGCAGGCCTGGGGCTGTTGATTAATTTCCAGCCCCACTTGATGGAATGGATGTTGCGTTGATTTTAATTCTGTATTTTTAAATGTTTTAAATGCTTTTACTTGTTGTGAGCCGCCCAGAGTCCCTAGGGCGGCATACAAATCCTATTAAAGTTAAAGTTTCCTTCCCCTTTTGCACTTTGGCTGGCCCAGGGCAAGGGTGAGGGGGACAGACCAGCCACAGGAACGGGGTTGGCCCCCAACTCTAAAACCCCTGGACCCCTCTCTACCCCACTAGGCCCAGATTTCAAGGCCCCCCTTGCCCCCCCCCCCCAAAAAAAAGCAGTGCCTCTTCGGAGGAGACTTTGCCAGGCTCCCTACAGACCTACATTTTGACAAAGGGGTCCGAGTATCCATTGGCGTCCATGGCAGCTAAGTGGACGCAGCGCACCACCCCCACCACCAGGCCCCCTTTCTGGGTGTTGTACATGAGGGAGACCAGGATCTTCCCGCGTTCTTCCACCTCTCCGCCTTGGTCCATCTGTGGGGAAGAGGAAAAAAAAGGGGAGGGGGGGCACTTGTGCATATGCTCCATCACCCTCGAAGCTGAAAGGTAAAGATTCGCACATATGTGCTGGTCGTTCTTGACTCTAGGGGGCGCTGCTCATCTCCGTTCCAAAGCCGAAGAGCCAGCGCTGTCCGAAGACGTCTCCGTGGTCTTGTGGCCGTCATGACTCAATGCCAAAGGCGCATGGAGCGCTGTTACCTTCCCACCAAAGGTGGTCCCTATTTTTCTACTTGCATTTTTTTTACGTGCTTTCGAACTGCTAGGTTGGCAGAAACTGGGACAAGTCACGGGAGCTCACTCCGTTACGGGATTCGAACCGCTGAACTGCCGGCCTTTCTGATCCACAAGCTCAGCGTCTTAGCCCCTGAGCCACCGCGTCCCTTCCCACCCAGAGCAGGGAAGGGGCAATGCAAGATCAGAAGAGGCGGAGGAGGAGAACGCCCGGCGCAGAGAACGGCCCAGCGTCATCACATCACCTTCATCATCCTCAGCAGCTGCAGAGAGACCATCCCCTCTCCCACCCACCCACGCGGGAACAGGGGAAGCTCAGCCCTCAAAGAGGCCCCTTAATGCAGTGTTTCTCAACCTTGTCAATTTGAAGATGGGGAAGTGTCTAGGACAGTGTTTCTCAACCTTGGCAACTTGAAGATGTCTGGACTTCAACTCCCAGAATTCACCAGCACTCGCTGGCTGG